TAGTGATGACTAGCTGCCTTCCCTCTAGTCTTACACAGCTAAATTAGGGACGGCTAGCGCAGATAGCCCTCGTGTAGCTTTGCGCGAAATTCAAAACAAACTTTTCGTAGGTGTTGACAATTTTTTATGACAGAGAGAAAAAAAGGGGGTCACTTTTGAGACACGAGAGCATGTTAATGGATCCAAGTACGAAGTTTGCTCTGATCGGAAGTTACTGTGAATTATTCACTTTTAGGGGCGTTTTTTATTTTAAAACAACAGCAACAACAAATAAACAAACAGAATATAAAGAAGAAAAAAAATACAAAAAATAATAATATAAGTGTGTAAATGTTGCGAGAAACCAAATAATTTTGTTAGTAATGAACTATGAATGAAAACGTTTTTAGGTTTAAGATCGCAGTATAAATTTGATCTTAAGTGTAATGTCATTGGAGGTATGATCAGTTCTTGGGATTTCCATAGAAACTTACACCCCGAAATCTCCGTGGAATAATTTTAGAAAATTTAATCGGTAAAGTTTTGTTGTTTTTTTTCTAGCGGATTGGGCTATCTGTGCTCAGTCCACCGCAGAGAATCCATCCCAGAATTCACACTTTTCATGTTGAGAACAAGGATTATTTATTTTCGCAACTAACTCTAGCGTAACACAACTATTTGTTTGTTTGTTTTTTCCACTAGCTTATAATTTAAACACGTTCTAACTCTAGCGTAACACAACTTTTTCTTTGTTTGTTTTCCCGCCAGTTTTATAATTTAAACACGTTCTAACTCTAGCGTAACACAACTTTTTCTTTGTTTCTCGCTAGTTTTATAATTTAAACACGTTCTTGTTTGTTTTGTTTTGTAGTTATGCACAAAGCTACACAATGGACTATCCGGTTTCGTGCGTTGTAAGTCCGCAGACATACCGCTGTGCCACTGGGAGGCAAACACGTTCTAACTCTAACGTAACACAACCTTTTGTTTGTTTGTTTGTTTTTCCGCTAGTTTTAAACACGTTCTCATGTTTGTTATTATTACCCTCGTCTTCTTTTATGTCGCAGAAAATCCACATCAGTAAGTAGTTTGATGACTTTTTATTCTGTAATATCAAAAGTAAGTTTCCAAAAATTCCCAAAAGTAAATTACCGAGTTACTAAAAATCACTTCTTTTTTTTCTGGTTGGGCTGCGGATTGAAGGGTGCTGGGTTTGAAACGTGACGTCACTGAACACACTCGTACTTTCAGTTCAGTACTTGTCATAAAAGTAACAGTTAATCTCTTTATTCGTTTCAAAGAACCTGACAAAGCCCTCTTGACGACAGGTACACTGTTGGTTGTTGCCATCCCTCTAGGTAGGAGTTCAAAGTTATGGATGGCTATACCACAAACCCTCGTGGGCTCAGATGAAGTATGGTGTGGGTTCATTCCTCGTGACCGCTATGACTGGCCTAGCAAGCCGATAGTGGATTTCCAAGTTGCCCAAGTTAATTATAGATAACAGGATTCAAAGCAAGAGGGCGACACAGGAAGAGATGTATCAATGGTGTGAATAAGGCTTTAAAAAATATTATAAAGAAAGATTATAAAAGCCAATGACAGTCACGTAGACAAACCTTTAAAGTTACCCGGGTATACTTAGGACATGCGCTTAACATTCAAGTTAGCCAGCATTCTGTCTTGGAAAGACTATACCACCCAATGTCATAAACAAACCTTTAAAGTTGCCCGGGAATACCCAGGACATGCGCTTAACATTCAAGTCAGCCAGCATTCTGTCTTGGAAAGACTATACCACCCAATGTCATAAACAAACCTTTAAAGTTGCCCGGGAGTACCCAGGACATGCGCTTAACATTCAAGTTAGCCAGTATTCTGTCTTGGAAAGACTAAACCACCCAATGTCATAAACAAACCTTTAAAGTTGACCCGGGAGTACCCAGGACATGCGCTTAACATTCAAGTTAGCCAGCATTCTGTCTTGGAAAGACTATACCACCCAATGTCATAGACAAACCTTTAAAGTTGCCTGGGAAAACCCAGGACATGCACTTAACATTCAAGTTAGCCAGCATTCTGTCTTGGAAAGACTATACCACCCAATGTCATAGACAAACCTTTAAAGTTGCCTGGGAAAACCCAGGACATGCGCTTAACATTCAAGTTAGCCAGCATTCTGTCTTGGAAAGACTATAC